ATAGAAGGGTTCATCCTGGCTAGGTGTTGGTAACAAAACAGGAAACCTCCATGCTACATCCACAGATGGAGCGCTATCTTGGATAGAAGGGTTCATCCTGGCTAGGTGTTGGTAACAAAACAGGCAACCTCCATGCTACATACCCCAATGGATCGCTATCTTGGATAGAAGGGTTCATCCTGGCTAGGTGTTGGTAACAAAACAGGAAACCTCCATGCTACATCCACAGATGGAGCGCTATCTTGGATAGAAGGGTTCATCCTGGCTAGGTGTTGGTAACAAAACAGGCAACCTCCATGCTACATACCCCAATGGATCGCTATCTTGGATAGAAGGGTTCATCCTGGCTAGGTGTTGGTAACAAAACAGGAAACCTCCATGCTACATCCACAGATGGAGCGCTATCTTGGATAGAAGGGTACATTCTGGCTAGGTGCTGGTAACAAAACAGGCAACCTCCATGCTACATACCCCAATGGATCGCTATCTTGGATAGAAGGGTTCATCCTGGCTAGGTGTTGGTAACAAAACAGGAAACCTCCATGCTACATCCACAGATGGAGCGCTATCTTGGATAGAAGGGTTCATCCTGGCTAGGTGTTGGTAACAAAACAGGCAACCTCCATGCTACATCCACAGATGGAGCGCTATCTTGGATAGAAGGGTTCATCCTGGCTAGGTGTTGGTAACAAAACAGGCAACCTCCATGCTACATACCCCAATGGATCGCTATCTTGGATAGAAGGGTTCATCCTGGCTAGGTGTTGGTAACAAAACAGGAAACCTCCATGCTACATCCACAGATGGAGCGCTATCTTGGATAGAAGGGTACATTCTGGCTAGGTGCTGGTAACAAAACAGGCAACCTCCATGCTACATACCCCAATGGATCGCTATCTTGGATAGAAGGGTTCATCCTGGCTAGGTGTTGGTAACAAAACAGGCAACCTCCATGCTACATCCACAGATGGATCGCTATCTTGGATAGAAGGGTTCACCCTGGCTAGGTGCTGGTAACAAAACAGGCAACCTCCATGCTACATCCCCCAATGGATCGCTATCTTGGATAGAAGGGTTCATCCTGGCTAGGTGCTGGTAACAAAACAGGAAACCTCCATGCTACATCCACAGATGGAGCGCTATCTTGGATAGAAGGGTTCACCCTGGCTAGGTGTTGGTAACAAAACAGGCAACCTCCATGCTACATACCCCAATGGAGCGCTATCTTGGATAGAAGGGTTCATCCGGGCTAGGTGTTGGTAACAAAACAGGCAACCTCCATGCTACATACCCCAATGGATCGCTATCTTGGATAGAAGGGTTCATCCGGGCTAGGTGTTGGTAACAAAACAGGAAACCTCCATGCTACATCCACAGATGGAGCGCTTTCTTGGATAGAGGGGTTCATTCTGGCTAGGTGTTGGTAACAAAACAGGCAACCTCCATGCTACATACCCCAATGGATCGCTATCTTGGATAGAAGGGTTTATCCGGGCTAGGTGTTGGTAACAAAACAGGCAACCTCCATGCTACATACCCCAATGGATCGCTATCTTGGATAGAAGGGTTTATCCGGGCTAGGTGTTGGTAACAAAACAGGCAACCTCCATGCTACATCCACAGATGGATCGCTATCTTGGATAGAAGGGTTCATCCTGGCTAGGTGCTGGTAACAAAACAGGAAACCTCCATGCTACATACCCCAATGGATCGCTATCTTGGATAGAAGGGTTCACCCTGGCTAGGTGTCGGTAACAAAACAGGCAACCCTCCACACTACATCCCCCAATGGATCGCTATCTTGGATAGAGGGGTTCATTCTGGCTAGGTGTTGGTAACAAAACAGGAAACCTCCATGCTACATACCCCAATGGATCGCTATCTTGGATAGAAGGGTTCATTCTGGCTAGGTGTTGGTAACAAAACAGGCAACCTCCATGCTACATCCACAGATGCATCGCTATCTTGGATAGAGGGGTTCATTCTGGCTAGGTGTCGGTAACAAAACAGGCAACCCTCCATGCTACATCCCCCAATGGATCGCTATCTTGGATAGAAGGGTTCATTCTGGCTAGGTGTTGGTAACAAAACAGGCAACCCTCCATGCTACATCCCCCAATGGATCGCTATCTTGGATAGAAGGGTTCATCCGGGCTAGGTGTTGGTAACAAAACAGGAAACCTCCATGCTACATACCCCAATGGATCGCTATCTTGGATAGAAGGGTTCATTCTGGCTAGGTGTTGGTAACAAAACAGGCAACCTCCATGCTACATCCACAGATGGATCGCTATCTTGGATAGAGGGGTTCATTCTGGCTAGGTGTCGGTAACAAAACAGGCAACCCTCCACACTACATCCCCCAATGGATCGCTATCTTGGATAGAGGGGTTCATTCTGGCTAGGTGTTGGTAACAAAACAGGCAACCCTCCACACTACATCCCCCAATGGATCGCTATCTTGGATAGAAGGGTTCATCCGGGCTAGGTTTTGGTAACAAAACAGGCAACCTCCACGCTACATCCCCGGCAGTTCCGGCAAAGTGTTCTTTTCACTGCATATCACTAGCTTTTCTGTCACTGCTGAGTAAATATCACTTTTTTTAAGTAAATAAACTTTAGAAATCTCAGGCTTTCACAGTTAAGTAAATATTACAATTACAACATTTCACTGTTCAAATGTAAGATAACAAGACATATTTCACTGTCTAGTAAATGATAACAAGGAATATTTGACTATCTAGAAAACAGTTAAAACAAAACATAAGGTAAATTTCACTATCTACATAACATGACATATTTGTTCTGCCAAGTATATGGCAACAAGGCATATTTCAATGTCTAGTGTATGATAACATATTTCAATTTCACAACAATGGTCCCAGCCAGCATGATGACAGTCCCCCACCCCCTTCCCCCCTCTCCCCTCTTTGCATCTGAAACACCCAGTTGACCAGCAGTACCTGATTAATCTTCCACTGGATGCATGTGTAGGTCTAACCTGCTACGGCAACTGCTTCCTGTCAAACATGACATCAAACAAAGATGTCACAGAGGCTACCTACAGAGATATACCAAGATTAATGAATGGTTCGTGATGTTGACACCTGGTGACAGTTGTGTGGGGGCAGCTGAGGGATCGGATGGAGGTTGATGAGGGAGAACGTGGGTGGCTCATCCAACCTAGTTTGGACTAATATGGCCTCCAGTGGAAATTATCAAGCCAAACACAGCATACACAACCTGGATATATTTTTGGGAATTAATAGTGTTTCCTGAAACTTTAATTGGTGAGAATGAAGATGAAGGACTGAAGGACAATATTTTTTAAACTTAATTCCTTTAATCCTGAGTTACCCAATACAGGTATTCCAGGTAAATGCATACCTGTTTATGTCAATATGGTTATTTGTATAATTGTTTCCAAACATCTTGTTCATATTGCTATATAGGTTCTGGTTATGGGCATAAATGTCAAAATTTATTGAAAAACATCTCCAGAATTAGAAGTATTACTGTGAGTATTGAACTGTATAGAAAGTATCGACATGTCATCAGAATGTTTCTTTCCTAATTAATTGAATGAGCTATTTCTAACTAACATGGAAAACTAATTATGTACCTCATTTAGTGAATGTTAATGTCAAAAAAAGAATTTAACAAAATACATTTTTTAAAATGATTATTTATTTTGCATATCAAAGACTGGAGGCATGACCAAGAACTACCGTAAACCGTAAAGTTACTTGACAATGTTCTAGTGTGCTTATACATTGTAGAATGAAAATATTTATTTCTAACCAGCAGCATATACAATTAAATTAATATCTGATCACTCACCAGAATTTAATCACATGAATTTCCTTTCTGTGAATAAACCATGTCGAGTTGACGGGACTTGACTGAATACTGTTTGATTAACATGGTGATGTATTCACCCCGACAGTAATACACTTACGGTACAAAGGTATTGCAATGATATATACACAGTAACAATTGGTTCCTTGGCTGAAAACTGGGGTAGACTTTACCACTACCAGGCTTTTATCAAGGATTCCAAATTCTTGTAAGTGCTTTTCAGGCAGGCAAACTGAAAAAAATCTCTATTTTGTTGAAAGTTTTTTAAAGTTTTTATTTTCTTAAATTCAGAGGTATTTTAACATTGGATTTTTATTTTGCATTCAATGCAATAATGTTAAACTAAATATTAAAACGTTTCCCTCTATATTGGTCCTGTTATCAGTGAAATACAAGTCACTTCTTCATAGAAATAACATTTTTTTAAAGTAAATTATAGCATGGATTTGGAAATGTTTAACTGAATTTGAGAATTTTAACTGACATTTGCTGCCGACTTGGGGCTGAGATGTGAATTCTGTGTGTCAGGTTGATTGAAACATGTCAGTATTTCTTTTTGCTTATTGACCGCCTCTGTGGTCTTGTGGGAGAGCGTCTGCCAAGAGGGTCGAAGGTCAGGGGTTCAATTCCCGGCCACGGCATACCAAGAGACATTAAAAGATGGTATTTCTTGTTACCCTGCCTGGCACTCGGCATTAAGGGGCTAAAACAAGGACTGGTCGGCTCAGAGTCAGTATACTGGGTATTCAAGTTAAACTGTGGCACGGTACCTCAGTGGCTAGCACTATCAAATCAGCATTAGTCCTGACTAGTAAAAGCAGCCACACACACACGCATACACATGCATGCATGTTGCTATGTAAGTGCAATGATCTTGAATGTGTCATTAAGCGCCATTTCACCTCACCTGATCTACGGTACACAGGGCACTCTCTCTGTCAGTGGAGTTGTGTTTTTACAATTTCATTTCTTAGCATCATACACGTACATTCATGTGCATGCATGTCGCCCTTTAAGTACAATAATCTTGGATGTGACATAAAACCCTATTTCACCACCTCTTTTTCTTATCAGTGTTTCGTTGTGAATGACGTAAGACGGTGATGAGGTCTAGCGATGGCAGCACTGATCGTGACACTCACCTTATTGCTGATGTGGCAAACACCTGGCCTTCGGATCCTATTGTAAACACCACACATGAAGCTACCACCACCATCAAATCTGAAAAAATACAATATGAAAATTAGAATTGAAAATATAATGAAAATATTTATTTCTGACCAGTAGCATATACAAATGAATGAATATCTATTCATCCACCCAAATTTAATTACATGAATTTCCTTAAGTGCTTCAGGAATGCCAAAATAAACCTAGACCAGGCTTAAATCAGTTAATGGAGAGATCTCTGTATTTGTGCAGCAAGCAAATGGAAATGTTCATCCCCTTAAGTATATACTCTTAGGATAACAAGGCAAAGTATACACCCCCACAATAATACACATAGACACTGCAATTATATACACACACCTTAGGTTCCTTGACAGAAAACCTGGCTAGACTTACCACAAATCTTACCACAAATGCAAAAAGAACATTTACATTTTTGTTAGGGTCCTAGATTTGTTATTCTTTAAAAACAAACAAACATATTTTCACAAATAGTGCTCATAACATTGATAAAACTTTATAAACCTAATCATAATAATTATTGGGCATATCGGAAGCAATAAACTAAAAGATCTATGATTATAAATATAAGTGTCAAAACCCTTTCATATAATCATAAGAAATCTCATTGTGCAATTCCGACTGTATCATAAACAGGTGTTTATGAATCACTATAATAAAGTGATAATACCATGTGTACACAATTTTCTAGGATGAGCGTATTCTGCCCTACAAACACTTGCAAAGGCAAGTCAATTGTTCCCCAGAAAAAAACACGGAGCCATATGGTAAGTCGCAAGATGGAATTGTGTTGGACATTATCTTTTGTCACTGAAGCTTCAAATTTGGAAATGTCCTCATCATGTCTACTAATGTGAAGTTACAGTGATGTCTACATACCTTGACATCACACAGCCATTACATACTACATGTATACACCTTGACATCACACAGCCATTACATACACCATGTATACACCTTCATATCACACAGCCATTACATACACCATGTATACACCTTGACATCACACAGCCATTACATACACCATGTATACACCTTCATATCACACAGCCATTACATACACCATGTATACACCTTGACATCACACAGCCATTACATACACCATGTATACACCTTCATATCACACAGCCATAACATACATCATGCATACACCTTGATACCACACAGACATTACATACATCGTGTATACACCTTGATATCACACAGATATTACATACACCATGTATACACCTTCATATCACATAGCCATTACATACACCATGTATACACCTTGATATCACACAGCCATTACATACACCATGTATACACCTTGATATCACACAGCTATTACTTGTACCATGTATACACCTTGATATCACACAGACATTAAATACACCATGTATACACCTTGATATCACACAGACATTAAATACACCATGTATACACCTTAATACCACATGACCATTTAATACACTATGTATACAGATTGATACCACACAGCCATTACATACACCATGTATACACCTTGATAACACATGACTATTTAATACACTATGTATATACCTTGATATCACATGACCATTAAATACACCATGTATACACCTTGATATCACATGGCCATTAAATACACCATGTATACACCTTGATATCATATATAGCCATTACATACACCATGTATACACCTTGATATCACGCAGCCATTGTACATTATGCGCAGTAACTTTGCTATCGCAATGCCAATAAGATCTCTTTGATCTCCAATGATGAACCCCAATGATATCAGCCTTCACACACATATGAACTTTCAGGACACAATGACAAAACCACATGCCAAAATAAGACTTGGGGAACACCATCAATTGACACAGAGGTCATCCTGTATGAGGAATAAACATTGTATTTAATGAGTCTTAGCGTGTTTTGGGATGGTAAATATCCTGTATTAGGAATAAACATTGTATTTAATCAGTCTTGGCGTATTCTGGGACGGTAAATATTCAGTATGAGGAATAAACAGTGGATTTAAAAAGAAAACATACATCTTTATGGATAACAATTTCTGGTTAATTGCATTTAGTGGGGTATCGATGTCTTGGTATTGTTGTTGTTCTATGTTAAATATCCTGTATTATATTGCATTTAGTGAACCTTGGTGACAAATAGATCACGACATTAACTCATCTGACTGAAATCAGGTGAGCTAACAATGGATACGGCGTCCACACTGATACGACTAAAAACTTACATTGAACAAAATTGGCAGGGCGATAATAAGATACTTCTCCACATACATATACACTGGCAGGGAAGAAGATGTTCTCCATATACATTATCATGTAAAAATATACAGTCAAGTCCCGTTAATCCGACATTGTTGGTTGCATATGATTATGTCGGATTAACGAGTATGTCAGATAAACGGAATTAGGTAGAATAAACATTCGGGATCGAAAATTGGACAACAACACGAAAGATAACGATACGAACACGTAGGAAAATGAAAAATGAAATATTCATATTGTTGGGTTACATTGTCAGCGGAATATGTTTTCTAATCATAAGGTTTAACACAAAACTACTGTTACGGACTGTATGACTGATTCAAAATATTTGACTGATTTTTAAAGCATAGTCTGGAATGGAAGTCGCTAATTTGAAACTAGTGCCGCGATGCTTAAGAAAGCTGCTTTCTTAGTGGCTATTAGACTTCCTGTTAGTAATTTCATTGGTCGGTCAAAGTTCGCGAAAGGTCGTGCTGACGTGACCTGTAATGGGATGTCCTCAGCGGTAGCCAGAATTTGTATCCGATTTTAATGAGATTGAGGTAATCTAGGCATGTGATTAATGCTGTTTTGTTTATTTAAAGCAGTAATTGTTTATTGTTAAGCAAGTTTATCTCTGCAGCCGTTGAAATATGCAGCTACTCGTCGACTCGTTTCGCATCAAAACATGGGGCTGTGTACTCGCAGGCAGATGACATATGAGTACGCTGATCACTGTGTCTGATTAACGAGACTGATTAATGAGTGATTTCAGCAATTCGTTGCAAATTAGGTGTGTCGGAGTCGGAGTGCAAGACTGTCGGATTAATGGGTCTAAATAGCACTGATTAAATCGGTTCCCATCATTTGTGTCGGATAAAGCCGATTGTCGGATTAACGAGTGTCGGATTAACGAGACTTGACTGTACATTCAATTACATCACATGAGTTTTAAATGAACAATTTGCAGAGGATGGAGGGTCAGCATATCATAACACCGACAATCTCAGACATTTTGGTGAGTCAGGAATATCAAATCTTCTTCTGCTTTCCAATTTTATTGTCCCATGACATATGAGACATATTTCAATTCAGATTTAATCAATAAAACTATGACATTTGATTAAAAGTTCGTATGAGACTCTTCCTGATGATTGAGTGAAATATCAGAGCTGAGGAGGATGACCTTCACCTTGGGTTGACGGCCTTCCACTGAAGTGACAAGAAATTCTTTTTGCCCAACTCAATCAATACTGTGAAAAATGACCACAAAGGGGACACAAAAAGTAAAAGCCCTCAGGTTCAAGGAAATGTGAAATCACATTGGCAATCTTGCAGAGAAATGTGATTTTCTGTATTGATTTGCCCAAACACTTCATAAAAACACCACACAAAATTATTCATTCTTTGACATTTATTGCTTCTCAATTTTCTCTTCATGTCTATTAAGATGTACACTGAATACAGTTCTTTTTTCCCATGAAGCATGTGATTACAGGAACATTAACATCACAAGTACATTTACCAGCCCCTAAGCTGATGTGACAAAATATGCAGAGACTTGTTCAAATTAATCTCTACAGAAGACGAGTGAGGAAACAAAGTTAACAGTCCATTCTTGATTCCTTAGAAATCGGACCGCCTCTGTGGTTTTGTGGTAGAGCGTCCGCCCGGAGAGCGGAAGGTCCAGGGTTCGATCCCGGGCCGCGTCATACAAAAAGACCTTAAAAGATTGTACTTGTTGTTACCCTGTCTGGCGCTCGGCATTAAGGGGCTAAAACAAGGACTGGTCGGCTCGGAGTCAGTATACTGTGTCTGAGTGGGGTATTCATGTTAAACTGCGGCATGGTATCTCAGTGAGCTAGCACTATAAATCGGCATCAGTCCGGACTAGTACAAGCAGCCACACACACACATACACGTGCATGCACGTCGCTATATAAGTGCAATAATCTGGGACGCGAAGTTAAACCCAATTTCACCTCACCTCACCTTAGAGATCACGTCCCTGAACAAACTAATTCCCCCTTATCCGCCACACTGACTACATGTTTCCAGTCACTCAAGGAACACAACAGGAACCGGTCTGTAGCTCACCTGCACCACACAGTACGAAGAAAATAATTCCTACATAAAAATACTAGGCCTGGGTGGGGTAACTCGGGTACTCGGGTCGGGTGGATACTGAGTAGGACCCAGGTACCCAGAGGACTACCCAAACCCATAGATAGCCACATGTACAGCAAAAAAAAAAGGGTAGGTTTCCATTTCCCAGAAACCTTCTGGAAACCTTTCACACTTTGAATCCGACAGGATACCTTCAAGAACCTTTCAGAAACCTTCCAAAAAATTGTCAAAATTTGGGGGGTGCAATTTGTTCAATTAAGTGTGAAACAGATAAAAAATATTTGAAACTTTCCAAGAAAATTGCAGATTGCTGAAGGTTCTGGAAGCTATCCAGACTGGACTCAAAGTGGAAAGGTATCCTGAATGTTTCCGGAAAACGGAAACCTACACTTTTTTTTGCTGTGACGATATATTGTTTGATGCTAAACTATCACTGTGGTATAGTAGGAATAGTCCTGGTTTGAAAAAAACAAACACGTCTTTATGCAAATTGTGTGAGTGGTGAGTGCTACCGGTAGAGCGGGACATGATTACCTCTTTCCAAAACATCTTGTGTCATCCATGATTTTCAGGGATCCATTCACCTGTATTTTCACTTTCACACCCAATGGTCCCTGTTTAGATGCATAATCGAAACTGAGATTCTCTGGCGTTCCCATTTTATATTGACTCCCATCACTCGTGGTTCGCCAGGTTCAGTGGCAGATCATTGTTTGGTGCATGAGTGAGTGAGTTGGAGGGCTGCAACAATACACTCTGTTGCCATGATAAGCCATGCTAATACACATTATAGCTAAAATTGATAGAATTATCATTAAACCGCCTGCATGTTATCAGAAATGAGCGGGCCACTGTAACTTGATAATGCCCTCATATTGCTTGACGACAGGCCATTATCAAGCCCGTTGTTAGGTGACGTCATAGGATAGTGATGTCATCTGGTTTGTTCTATGACGTTTCCATATTTGTAAAAGTAGGTCAGTGACATTCGTGTTGATGCAGTAAATAGAAATGAAAGAGTACTTCGTCTAATATATATATTTTTTTGTTTTTTATTCTTCAAATTTTTCTATATTTTTGATAGTCAGCACAATTTCCATATCAGTAATTGATATTTTAACTTGACACTGATTTATTCACATCAAGCTGCCACTACTTTCACTGCAAGGAAGTCCCTTGGGGCAGGGCTTACAACTCTCGGCATGCTGGACCTCAGTTAATTCATCTGAAGCACTAAGTTTCCTGGTGAAAGCGTTACCTTTTACCAGCTGTTTTTATATGTAAATTCTGAAATACTTCAAGTAATTCATTTGAGACTCTAAGAAATGAAATTGCAAAAACACAACACCACTGACAGAGAGAGTGCCCTGTGTACAGAGGATCAGGTGAAATGGGGCTTAACGACACGTTCAAGATTATTGCACTTATATAGCGACATGCATCCATGTGTATGTGTGTGTGGCTGCGGACTAATTTTATTGTGCTAGCCCACTGCCCACAGTTTAATATGAATACCCCATTCAGACACAGTATACTGGCTCTGAGCAGACAAAATCCTTGTTTTTCCCCTTAGTGCCAGACAGGGTAACAACAAGTACCATCTCTTAACGTCTCTTGGTATGATGCAGCCGGGGAACGAACCCCTGACCTTCCACTCTCCGGGCAGACGCTCAATGCACCAGACCATGGAGGCGGTCGATCAGGATCAGGGCTTCAACGACCCTTCTGAGGTCATGTCATCATTTTACTTAATGCTGCGGGCGGTCGAGTAGCCTAGTGGTTAAAGCGTTCGCTCGTCATGCTGAAGCCCCGGGTTCGATTCCCGACATGGGTATAATGTGTGAAGCCCATTTCTGTTGTCCCCCGGCGTGATATTGCTGGAATATTGCTAAAAGCGGTGTAAAACCATACTCACTCACTCACTCAGTTAATGCTGCACCTACATGTACCTCAAATTATTCTTCCATTTACACTGAAGTTAGAAATTAGATGCAAAAATGTAGCTGCCATTGCTAAACAACTGCAGATTGTGATGTCACATTTTAACTGAGGCATATTTTCAAATCCCAGAAACTATTACTTGTAGCCTGTTGATGGTACTGAGACCCTGAACTCACCTATGATGGAGATAGGTTTCCTGGCAAACCGGACCCGTCCTTTCAGCCCCATGTACTTGCTTCTGCATCCTGCCGACCACAAGCGGATCGCGTATTCCAGGCCAAAGAACGTTACTAAAAATATTTCCTGAAAAGAAAATCATGCAAAGTGCATTTGACTTTTTTTGGTGTGAGGCAACGAATAATAGAATTCATGACAAGAATAAATGTATTCATGTAGTCATATCGCATCGGAACAAATCAAATACCATGTCAGAATGAACTCTGTGGTTAGATGCTAATCAAAGTTAAAAAAAACTGGTGAAGAAACAAAACGGTATCAGTGTTCCACACGAATATCATGTCATCGTATTTTTTGGAAGACAGTTCTGATTATAGGCTTGTTTTCACTAATTCTTCATGCTCTGCCAAATTTCTCATCAAATACCACATTAACAAACAGAGGAGTCAGTTTCTGACTTTAGGAGATGTGTTTGTATTCATAAACTACACTTGAGGTGATTCTACAGATTAACACAAGGACAGGCAAGTTTGTCTTCAAATGTATATATTCCAAAAGAGTTTTAAAAATACCAACAACATAACAACAAAATAGGATGTACTTTATAAGAGCTTTGACATTTCATATCAACTTGGCCACATCTGCCTCCATATCTTCCTATATTTTCTTTTTTTTAAATCAAAATGTTGGGTTGGAGAAAAACATATTTTAATGATAAAAGATGTAAAATATGAAAAATTCATTAAAACTAATATCATATTCATGTGACATTTAGAAAAAACTTCATCTAGCTCATTGGCACTGTGATTCAGCCAAAGAAGCCGAGTAGTTTCTGTCAGCATCTGTATTCTGATTTCAGACAGCCATTGTAATTGATAGCCTTCTAAAGGAAAAGTCAGTATTGATACTCCAATTCCTTACTTTCTGCATTAATTTATCAAAACAGCAATTCAGTTGCAACAACATTGTTGTAGCTACAACTATTTAGCTGTTAAATCTCCTTCAAACAATTTCAATTTATGAGGTCTTGTGCCATTTAAGAAGTATAGATTTAAAAATATACTTCAACTCTAATTATTCCACTTGTTAAGAAAAGCAAACTTTTTTTCTACACTGGAGTTAAACACTGATTATGAAACCTAAAAGTTGAAACCATTTATTGTCATTCGCTCAGAGTTTCAATTCTCTGGGATTTTGTGGGATCTGGGATGCTACAATAGCTAAAGCTAAATACCGATCCATATTCCCGAGGACGGGCATCAGCTGACCATGAATGTCCAGTTTTAATCCTTGCTGAATTACATTGGAATTCTGGAGTTACATTTTGGCTGGACTAACAAGTCAATGCATAGTCCAATCAAAATCATATCCCAAACTAGACATCTGGTTTGTAAACAACATACCATATTCGACATAATAAGCACCCGGGGCACTCTCAAAATTAGAAATAGGGGGCTCTTCTTAGAAAAAAAATTTGGTAAAAAAACCCATCAGGGTTAAAAGATCGTAAATTTCGTAGTTTATGCTGACAGCCTGAAATGATACAAAACAAAAGTATGTGTGTATCATACACGACAGATATATTTTCCAGAAATTGATTTCTCATAATTAAGGGGGCATATAACAAGAGTGCGTATTATACATGAATAAATAAGTCTTGTGAACATTGATCAATCAGAAGGTGTGCTAACTGGGATTGTTCACTAGCCAATATATTAGCAAACATCGCCAGGGGCGCTTATTAGAGCAGGGAGCTTATTACGTCGAATACGGTAGATCTCAATGTGCAGATTTTGGTTGACAACAGGATTGGCAATGCATGTGTACCATCAATTGGGCACCAACAGATATTTTGTAAATCTGATTTAATGCACTTCGTAGGGTAAGACCTGTTTTATTACAATATAGATGTTGATTATCAATCAGATCTTCTTGACTGGGTGCCACCATTTTCTTTGACGCAAATACATGTGATAAGAAAGATGGAATCTGATTGGTCAGTAGGAGGGACTCAAAAGGGACATAACTTGTAACAGCCACTGGTGGTGACATGATCGAGCCTAGGAAGTTCCAGCCTAGTTCGGGAAGGTTGGGAACTGGAATTTTATTGTAGGTTAAGGCCCTTAATTGGGAAAATGACACTGATCAAAAAGCCTTGAAAACTCTTGACATTTGCATTCATATTTGTTTTTTGCTTTCTGCCCCTTGGTCCTTCTGAGAAGATAATTATAGAGAAAATAAAGTTCTTCATAAATGTTAACTATATTTAACAACATAATACTCAAAAGAAGTTAAAGAACACCATGAGAGATTAACCATAGTCATATGAAAAACATAGCCTTCTTTAACTCCTTTTGAGTAGGACAAGAAATGACTTGGATCATCATGCTCTAAAGTAGCCATTGCTGGTCCAGTGGTTTTAGAGAGGAAGATGTTGATAGACAACGACCACAGACATAACAGCCATGACGATGTAAGCTCACTCGGGCTTTGCCAAGGCAAGCTAAAAATGGATGCCAATGACTCAGTCTCTAATGGTGGACAAAGCCAGGTAAACTTATACATTGTATATATTTTTAAACAGCAAGTATTGATTTACACTTCGACACGACACTCATATTATTGGAGATGTACATTGGAAACTTTATCTATCTTGAAATGATAATGTAAGTTCCAGATATTGTCAGAAATATTTTGTGCCTGGATGTGGAAATAAACTGAATTTGAACACATTACTTTAACTTATTATTTAAAAAATTCAAGGTCTTATCGGGTCATTTAGTTTTCATTCAAATACTTTTCAAGGCATATTCTGAAGTAAAATTATTTCAAGATTCAACATGCCAGGACTCAAGATTTGCTTGCCTTGTGTGTCTCGTACAAAGTTCTCAAACAATCTGAAATGCATCAACAAATAAACACACTCATACAATAACAGACAGCAATGATATAAACCAAGAAGCACAACAAGTACAAATAAACTGAATTTCCACCGTCTCTGATTAAACAACAACAGTGTACGTCATCAATTGAAGGCGGAGTCCATATGAAGGTAGCCACGTAACAGCCCTATGTACAAACAAAGACTGAAGAACCATCAGAGACAAGTGGCAACGGAGGATCCACATCATCGCGGAAAACCATATTAGGTCACTATGGTTACATGATGCCTTTCTGCAGTGCTAGTTCACGTAGAGTCTAGCGGTCAAAGAGATGTGCAAAGAAACACTGAACCATGTGGAAAGAATCTTTCACCATCAGTAAGCCATGCCCAACAATGTTTAGTAGAACATACAACATTCTTTCAAAATACACCATCCATTTTCAATCTAGACAAACCTTTACTCCATATGGAAGAGATCTCTTACGCTGTTTCTACACGCATGATGTGAAGCAATGGGACAATAACGCTAAGACTACTAGAACATGATACAGGAGCATCTACACATGTTAGCATCCTCTTACAGGGGAGGTTGTTACGGTGGCTTATACAATAGGCTGGTGATTAACACCCATATCACTCTACGGGCAGACACTGGCAGGGGTTAATGTCAGAAGATCAAATATTGGTTCAATGCACCTTCAAAGCAATTTCTCATCAATATCTACATATACTGCATTCATGCATTAACTGGTATATATTTGGAAATATACAGATTCTGAACAATTTCTTCATCTTAACATGTTCAGATCCTGTTTATTACCATGGAAAGGGTTAAGTCTTTTTAATTTCATCAAAGCCTTTAATTGGGAGATGAATATTGTATTTTGAATTCTGAGGTACGTTATCATTGATTTGATATCCTAAATATAGTTTGAAACCTTATTGGTCAAACAGTACTTTAGAATTGTAATGCAATAAATGTATTATCACAGTCCATGACTGATAAGTATTACATTGTTCCTAAAGTTGTATAACACTCATTTTGTCATTTTACATAGCATGTATTGGGTGCTTGTCATGTGTTTAAAACAGATGAATACTTCAGAACTGCATTCGCTCATATCAGGATAAGAACCTGTCAACCAAGGACTGGGGCAGAGGTGTTTCCTTACATTTATTCCTACTGGCTTTGACGTGGTTTTGATTTGATACTTATATTCCAAAGTCATAGAAGAGTCGTTTTTTAAATGTTTATATGGATGTATATGGAAGATATTTCAGTGACAGTTTGTATTGTCTAAAGTTTCCATTCATGAATCAAAATATCTTCAGGCATGTGTTAACGGTAATTTATCTGACAGATGAAAATATTACAAAAGTTGATTAGATTTCTTTTGTATTACAAATTTCAGGAATACAGATATACATGTATTCCACAGAACAGTGAGGTGTGTCTGATTTACAGACACACTCCTGGAATCAACTTTCGTTTCATTATAGCTTTTTTCTTATTTTACAGAATTGATCATGGTTATGAAAACTGGCTTTCAAAGATTCTTTTCAATTCTTTTCTTATTTTTGTTACAACCACCAACCCTATGGTTTTGTAGAGTGTGTGAGTGAGTGAGTAAATTATTACGGTTTAATGCTACTTTTAGCAATATTTAGCAATATCACAAGGGGACACCAGAAATAGGCAGGGAATCGAGCCCGTCTCCCAAGCTTTAACCACTAGGCTACCCACTGCCCCTGGTTTTCAAGAAAATAGTACATTGACCAGGTGATAAACAAAGGCTTAAGGTTGAGTGAGTGAGTGAGAATGGTTTTACGCCGCTTTTAGCAACATTCCAGCAATATCACAGCGCTTATGGTTGAATATATATTAACTGATTCACCATGTTTCTTCTATAATACATCTCAAACATTATAAAAATAAATTAATGTGCATAGTTTCCACAGTGCTTGAAACTATAAATCCTTAAACTTCACTCCAAACAACCCACTGCATTTAATAGAGTAGATAATGAGACAATAATAGTGAAGTCATGTCCATTTAGATTTGACCACTATCATATCACCTGCTGATTAAGCTGAGCTATCATCCTTGATGCAGGTAGTGAGTTGAATTTAACGTCACATTGAATAGTTACATCACGGCATGTCAGCTTAATGTGGGAGGAAAGCCCTAAGTGATGTAGGTCTCAGACGTTTACCATTTTGGTGAAGCCCACAAGCACAGTTATGGTGCCGACAAACCTAAACCAGGATTTGAACCCAAGATCAATGGTTTCTGGTGTGCAAACTGCAGCACATTAGATGACTGGGCCACCCGTGCCCCCTGGTATACAGTTATATGACCACACATGCTGTATATCATCTCACTCTACAACATTCATGCCTAATATTGTTATATCATCTGTTATATAAAGCCTCATATTGCCCAGTGTATACATCCTAATACATAACCACTTACAGCAATACCAGCACAGCTAATATCAATCTCATTAAAATCAGATCTTAGTTCTCGCTATCGCCAAACAAAGATCTGAGGACATCCCATTAAGGGTCATGTCAGAACGACCTTTCATCCAACCAATCAGAGCATCGCTTACCAGATCATGAAAGTGACAGTCGGAATGTATTTTCTAATCATGCAACCACGAAATATTTAACACGGGGTATTCCGAATGACAGTTACGTGTTTTATGATTATATCCGTACAATCTAGGCCATCTATAAGCCATTCCAGAATGTTCTTCTTATCAGTTTTATTTTTTTAATCGAGGATACGTCAAAATATGTTTCGAGTCGCCAGTTTGAAACTAGTTTCGTAAAGCTCGAGAAAGCTGCCTTCTGATTGGCTTATGTCAATTTCTTGTCAGTCATTTCATTGGTCGGTCAAAATCGCGAAAGGTCGTTCTGACGTGACCCGTAATGGGATATCCTCCGATCCTTGTTTAGCAGTAGCGAGAACTAAGATCAGATTTTAATGAGATTGAGCTAATATTGCCCTGGGTCCCTTTCCACAAAGCAATCATAGCGCTACTAAGTTCATAGTCCTATGCTAAGGTATGGGAGTGCGATCATCTTAGCGGGAGATCCATGGAACAGGGGCCCAATTCTATGCAAAAAAACTCATTTATTAATACAATATCAATGTTTTCTTGTTACTTGATAACGGCAGCTCAAAGGTGTCTGAGACAGTACGAAACATTTGGGTGATTATTGTACTGGTATGGTATTAGATGCATACATTACATAGTTACTGTGGGCTACAGATTAGTCCTGTTAGTACTACACCTAAAGCTTAAGGATGCTATCTTGGTGTTATCGATTATAAATGTCTATATCTTGCCTTCGTGGATGAGATTTGAGAACTATCATGATTTTGACATTTGAAAACGAGGAGTATAGGTCTCCATGGTGCAGTCTTTCTCGGTACTTCATCATGAACAGGAGAACGACAGGTATTTAGTAGCCCAACCAAATCAATTAGCCAGAATATAATCACCTTTTAGATGTAAATTACAGACTCTTCCAACAATAATTTGCTCCTTATTTAGGCCTTCTCCTGATACATATTGGATAATAAATCACAATTCACATCTGTAACCAAATGAATTTACATTTTCAAATACAAAAATACTTCAGCTTCAAATTAATGTGGTTCATGTCAGATCTTTCCTTTGAGGATCTATTAATGCCTTATAAAGTGCTTAATAATCAAAATGTTTAACTTGATCTACTTGTCAAGTTAATGCATAATTTGTCATGCGTTTAATTGCTGCTAATACCACTTTGAACAGTGTCTCTCAATTTTATTTATTTATTTATTTATTTATTTATTTATTTATTTATTTATTTAATTAATTAATTAATTAATTAATTAATTAATTAATTAATTAATTAATTAATTAATTATTTATTTATTTATTTATTTATTTTTTTATTTTTTTTATTTTTTAAATTTATATTAATGTATTTATTTATTTATGTTAAGTACTGGGGACTAGTTATGTCTACACATGCTGCAGAACAATAGCAAGACTTACCAGATAGTACTCGGCCAGCTGAAGAGATAGCAATAGGGACAGTAGGCACTTATACACCAATATAGAATACAAACAATACACCTATATGTCACATCTTGTGTCATTGTGCAACATGTCAAATGTGGATATTACTTTAGGCTCTAGCATACATAAATGAATATATCGCTGCACATAATCATTGAGGCAACTGTGTGTATTATAATCTATTAGGTTTCCTTACTATTTCATAAATCTACATCAGTGCAGCTGCGCAGTATTATTAATATAACTTGTAGAACATTGTTATCATTGCTGATCAACAGTGCTTACATTTTGGCAACCAGCCAAATCTTACAGAACACTGAAAACTCACTTATAGAGTGTAACATTACAAGATCAGTCCAGTCTAATTTCTGATGGCTAGATGCATAGATGGCTAGATGCATGACAAAATATCATAATTTCACTGATGCTACATCTGCTATGACATTCTCAATATCAAGCATTTTGACAAGTTACAAGAACACATACATCAATCATGTGGAGTGTTAATACTTCTTATCTAACGTCTTCCTGAAAGTGACTCCCTGCCAAACTAATAAAAGACACTGTATTTAGCCAACTGTAGGGATATAACTGAAATATGCCATACAGACATTGATGCGGGGTATATAACCAGTTACTGTATGGCAGGAACTCAATAATGGGCGTGTCATGCAAACAGAACTCAGATAACTGGACCAACTCTTCGTAACAGCCTTAGAAATAATGATACAGAAAATAAACCAAGGATACATCAAAACAAAAAACTCATAACATGTTATTTATGACTGTCAAAATAACTTTGCCAGTTTAGTATTGATGCTCATTTGCCTTGAGCAGAAATTAATACCCTAATAAAAATAACTGCACTTCTCTAGATATCAATACCTCTATAAAAGTAAATAATGCACATTAAATGTGGAGATTTACATCCAATTAATAATCCCTTTATGCCAACAGAAGCCAACACTTGATGACAGAATTTGGCTTGTTTACATGTTGCTAATAGAAACATTGACTTTCAGGAGTCTAAGAGCAGATGATTTGCTACTTGGTTTCCTCATCGGATAAAAGATTCATGTTTAGCTCTGTCTCAGTTTAAGAGGAATGGTAATAAACTGTTCAAAATTCAATACACACAAAAAATCCATAATTCCAAACTTTCAGCTGAGGAGCCTCTGTGACTTCCAACACAGTTGAAGGGCCTCTGTGATAACCAACACACAGCTGAAGGGCCTCTGTGACTTCCAACACAGTTGAAGGGCCTCTGTGATAACCAACACACAGCTGAAGGGCCTCTGTGACTTCCAACACAGTTGAAGGGCCTCTGTGATAACCAACACACAGCTGAAGGGCCTCTGTGACTTCCAACACAGTTGAAGGGCCTCTGTGATAACCAACACACAGCTGAAGGGCCTCTGTGACATCCAACACAGTTGAAGGGCGTCTGTGATAACCAACACACACCTGAAGGGCCTCTGTGACACCTAACACCGCTGAAGGGCCTCTGTGATAACCAACACACAGCTGAAGGGCCTCTGTGACATCCAACACAGTTGAAGGGCCTCTGTGATAACCAACACACAGCTGAAGGGCCTCTGTGACACCTAACACCGCTGAAGGGCCTCTGTGATAACCAACACACAGCTGAAGGGCCTCTGTGACACCTAACACCGCTGAAGGGCCTCTGAATCCCAACACAGCTGAAGGGCCTCTGTGACTCCCAACACACAGCTGAAGGGCCTCTGACTCCCAACACAGCTGAAGGGCCTCTGTGACACCAACACACAGCTGAAGGGCCTCTGTGACACCAACACACAGCTGAAGGGCCTCTGTGACTCCAAACACACAGCTTAAGGGCCTCTGTGACTCCCAACACACAGCTGAAGGGCCTCTGTGACACCCAACACACAGCCAAAGGGCCTCTGTGACTTCCAACAAACAGCTGAAGGGCCTCTGTGACTCAACACAGCTGTAGGGCCTCTGTGACTCCTAACACACAGCTGAAGGGCCTCTGTGACACCAACACACAGCTGAAGGGCCTCTGTGACTCCCAACAAACAGCTGAAGGGCCTCTGTGACACCAACACACAGCTGAAGAGCCTCTGTGACTCCCAACACACAGCTGAAGGGCCTCTGTGACTTCCAACACATAGCTAAAAGGGCCTCTGTGACTCCCCACGCACAGCTGAAGGGCCTCTGTGACTTCCAACACAGTTGAAGGGCCTCTGTGATAACCAACATACAGCTAAAGGGCCTCTGTGACACCTAACACAGCTTAAGGGCCTCTGTGACACCAACACACAGCCGAAGGGCCTCTGTGGCACCAACAGACAGTTAAAGGGCCTCTGTGATACCAACACACAGCTGAAGGGCCTCTGTCACACCTAACACAACTGAAGGACCTCTGTGACACCAACACACAGCTGAAGGGCCTCTCTGACACCAACACACAGCTGAAGGGCCTCTGTGAATACCAACACACAGCTAAAGGGCCTCTGTGACTCCCAACACACAGCTTAAGGGCCTCTGTGAATACCAACATTCAGCTGAAAGGCCTCTGTGATACCAATCACACAGCTGAAGGGCCTGTGTGATAACAATCACAGCTGAAGGGCCTCTGTGAATACCAACATACAGCTAAAGGGCCTGTGTCACACCAACACATAGCTGGAGGGTCTCTGTGACACCAACACACAGCTAAAGGGCCTATGAGAATACCAACGCACAGCCGAAGGGCCTCTGTGACACAACACAGCTGAAGGGCCTCTGTGACACCAAACACAGCTGAAGGGCCTCTGTGACACCAACACACAGCTGGAGGGCCTCTGTGACACCAACACACAGCTGGAGGGCCTCTGTGACACCAACACACAGCTGGAGGGCCTCTGTGACTCCCAACACACAGCTGAACGACCTCTGTGACACCAAACACAGCTGAAGGGCCTCTGTCACACTTAACACAGCTGAAGGGCCTCTGTGACTCCCAACACACAGCTGAAGGGCCTCTGTGACACCAAACACAGCTGAAGGGCCTCTGTGAATACCAACACACAGCTGAAGGACCTCTGTGAATACCAACACACAGCTGAACGACCTCTGTGACACCAAACACAGCTGAAGGGCCTCTGTCACACTTAACACAGCTGAAGGGCCTCTGTGACTCCCAACACACAGCTGAAGGGCCTCTGTGACACCAACACACAGCTGAACGACCTCTGTGATACCCATCACACAGCTGAACGGCCTCTGTGAATACCAACACACAGCTGAAGGACCTCTTTGAATACCAACACCCAGCTGAACGGCCTCTGTGATACCCATCACACAGCTGAAGGGCCTCTGTGAATACCAACACCCAGCTGAATGGCCTCTGTGATACCCATCACACAGCTGAAGGGCCTCTGTGAATACCAACACACAGCTGAAGGACCTCTGTGAATACCAACACCTAGCTGAAGGGCCTCTGTGACTCCCCACGCACAGCTGAAGGGCCTCTGTGACTTCCAACACAGTTGAAGGGCCTCTGTGATAACCAACATACAGCTAAAGGGCCTCTGTGACACCTGACACAGGTTTAGGGCCTCTGTGACACCAACACACAGCCGAAGGGCCTCTGTGGCACCAACAGACAGTTAAAGGGTCTCTGTGATACCAACACACAGCTGAAGGGCCTCTGTGACACCAACACACAGCTGAAGGGCCTCTGTGACACCAACACACAGCTGGAGGGCCTCTGTGACACCAACACACAGCTGGAGGGCCTCTGTGACACCAACACACAGCTGGAGGGCCTCTGTGACTCCCAACACACAGCTGAACGACCTCTGTGACACCAAACACAGCTGAAGGGCCTCTGTCACACTTAACACAGCTGAAGGGCCTCTGTGACTCCCAACACACAGCTGAAGGGCCTCTGTGACACCAAACACAGCTGAAGGGCCTCTGTGAATACCCATCACACAGCTGAAGGGCCTCTGTGAATACCAACACACAGCTGAAGGACCTCTGTGAATACCAACACACAGCTGAACGACCTCTGTGACACCAAACACAGCTGAAGGGCCTCTGTCACACTTAACACAGCTGAAGGGCCTCTGTGACTCCCAACACACAGCTGAAGGGCCTCTGTGACACCAGCACACAGCTGAACGACCTCTGTGATACCCATCACACAGCTGAAGGGCCTCTGTGAATACCAACACACAGCTGAAGGACCTCTGTGAATACCAACACACAGCTGAAGGACCTCTGTGAATACCAACACCTAGCTGAAGGGCCTCTGTGAATACCAACAACCAGCTGAAGGGCCTCTGTGATACCCATCACACAGCTGAAGGGCCTCTGTGAATACCAACACACAGCTGAAGGGCCTCTGTGAATACCAACACACAGCTGAACGACCTCTGTGACACCAAACACAGCTGAAGGGCCTCTGTCACACTTAACACAGCTGAAGGGCCTCTGTGACTCCCAACACACAGCTGAAGGGCCTCTGTGATACCAACACACAGCTGAAGGGCCTCTGTTACTCCCAACACCCAGCTGAAGGGCCTCTGTGAATACCAACACACAGCTGAAGGGCCTCTGTGACACCAACACACAGCTGAACGACCTCTGTGATACCCATCACACAGCTGAAGGGCCTCTGTGAATACCAACACACAGCTGAAGGGCCTCTGTGAATAACAACACCCAGCTGAACGGCCTCTGTGATACCCATCATACAGCTGAAGGGCCTCTGTGAATACCAACACCCAGCTGAATGGCCTCTGTGATACCCATCACACAGCTGAAGGGCCTCTGTGAATACCAACACCCAGCTGAAGGGCCTCTGTGAATACCAACACCCAGCTGAAGGACCTCTGTGAATACCAACACCCAGCTGAAGGGCCTCTGTGATACCCATCACACAGCTGAAGGGCCTCTGTGAATACCAACACACAGCTGAAGGACCTCTGTCAATACCAACATACAGCTGAACGACCTCTGTGACA